TGGCAGTCTCCTGCCCCGAGTAGAGGACTGTCCACCCCTCATGGTGGCAGGAGCCAGAACCGGTCCACCGGACCTCCTGAATGCCACAGAGATCCAGGCGGTACCGGTCCAGCTCCCGACAGAGGAGTGGCAGCCTCTCCTCCGCAGTGAGCGTTCGAACATTCCACGTGGCCATCCGCAATGGTTTTTTGTTGTTTCTGGAGGAGCCCCGAGGGTGAAAATTCAATCTCCTGGCTCCGCCAAATGGGGTTTGGCCAGGAGACGTCATAAAAGCCTGACCCCCCGGGGCCTCCGGCACAAGCTTATTTGTTACAGGTTTATGTTTAATTCGTGGTTTAGTGGTAATGAATTGAAGGTGGAGGGGTTACCAGCCCCTCACACCCGTCCAGAGCCCCCGTTTAGCCACTGTGGTGGTCACAGACGCCATGAGGGGAGAGGCCAATGGGCATTGGCCCTCCCCCCACAGCAATGTCCACGACAGTGTTGCCCGTCCGGCACCGCGAGGAGGTAGGAGGTTGTTTTGCCGGACTACAGACACACACACACACACACACACACAGACACACACACAGACACACACAGACACACACACAGATACACACACCAAACACACACACACAGACACACACAGACACACACATACACCCACATACACACAGACACACACACAGACACATACACACACATACACACACACACAGACAGACACACACACAGACACACATACACACAGACACACACACACAGACACACACACAGACACACACACAGACACACACACACAGATACACACACACAGACACACACACACAGACACACACAGGACACACAGACACACACAGACACACACACACACAGACACACACACAGACACACACACACAGACACACACACACAGACACACACACACAGACACACACACACAGACACACACAGACACACACACAGACACACCCACACAGACACACACACACAGACACACAGATTATCTGAGTTAAGCTGATTGATGACCATCTAAACTTGAAGCTTTCGTGACTGCAAGGAATCATATCTTAGGTGTTTTCGGTAAAGTCACGTAGGCAAAACATCAAAATTAATAAAATATAAAATAAAATAAAGATCTTTATTTATTATTTTTATAAATTATAATATAAAATAAAGATTTTTTTAAAATAAAAATAATAAAATAAAATAAAGATCTTTATTTTATTTTATTATTTTTCATTAATTTTGATGTTTTGCCTACGTGACTTTACCGAAACACCTAAGAATAGATGACCATCTGTATTATGTTGTGATGTCACGGGAGGGGAGTTTTAATAGGCTACATACACTACACACACACCACACATATACTACACACACACGCTACATACACTACACCCACACCACACACACGCTACATACACTACACACACACATACACACGCTACACACACTACACACACACCACACACATACACACGCTACATACACTACACACACACACGCTACACACACTACACACACACCACACACATACACACGCTACATACACTACACACACACCACACACACACACACGCTACATACACTACACACACACCACACACACGCTACATACACTACACACACACATACACACGCTACACACACTACATACACTACACACACACCACACACATACACACGCTACATACACTACACACACACCACACACACACACACGCTACGTACACTACACACACACATACACACGCTACATACACTACACACACACATACACACGCTACATACACTACACACACACACACACGCTACACACACTACACACACACACACCACACACATACGCACGCTACATACACTACACACACACCACACACGCTACATACAACTACACACACACACACCACACACATACACACGCTACGTACACTACACACACACATACACACGCTACATACACTACACACACATATACACACGCTACATACACTACACACATACCACACACACACGCACGCTACGTACACTACACACACACCACACACACACGCACGCTACGTACACTACACACACTGCACACACAACTACACGTGCTACTCTCCCAACGTGCAGGTACGCTGACGTTGAGGGAAAACAAGTGAGCCGATGAGAGCGACGTCGACGTTGCCGGTGGTGGCGGCTGTGGCCGCAGCCCGACCTGGATCCCGTGCGCGGTCGCTCACCCGACTCGGTCACTCACCCACCTCGGTCGCTCACCCCGCGGTGCCCCGACTCGGTCGCTCACCCACCTCGGTCGCTCACCCGCGGTGCCCCGACTCGGTCGCTCACCCGACTCGGTCGCTCACCCGACTCGGTCGCTCACCCGACTCGGTCGCTCACCCGCGGTGCCCCGACTCGGTCGCTCACCCGACTCGGTCACCTCACCCACCTCGGTCGCTCACCCGCGGTGCCCCGACTCGGTCGCTCACCCACCTCGGTCGCTCACCCGCGGTGCCCCGACTCGGTCGCTCACCCGACTCGGCGCTCACCCGACTCTGGTCGCTCACCCGACTCGGTCGCTCACCCGCGTGTGCCCCGACTCGGTCGCTCACCCGACTCGGTCGCTCACCCGACTCGGTCGCTCACCCACCTCGGTCGCTCACCCGCGGTGCCCGACTCGGTCGCTCACCCGACTCGGTCCGCTCACCCGACCTCGGTCGCTCACCCGACTCGGTCGCTCACACCGACTCGTCGCTCACCCGACTCGGTGGCTCACCCGACTCGGTGGCTCACCCGCGGTGCCGCTGCCGCGACAGACGCACTCTGCCGCCGCCGCCACCCTCGGCGATCGTCGCCAGGGAGGACGTCCACCCTCCTCCTGCGGCCGCGTACTTCACATCTGTCACGTGACCCACGCGTGTGGAAGCGTCACGCATCGTGGCGCAGCGATTAGCGCTACGCCGCGCTACGAACCCGGCGACCCGAGTTCGATTCCCGCTCACGGCCACCGCCGGTGACGATTATTTGAACCGGTCCTGGGCCTCCGCTAGGTCGACTCAGCCTCAAACGAGTAACTGGTGCAGTGTGTGAACGTCGCCACTGGGGAGACAAAGGCGGCCGGGCATGGTGGATCCAAGTCTCGGGCGAAGCCGGGTAGTACAGTTAGTAGCTTGACAAAGTCAACGATTCTCCACTTGTTCAACATCGTTGTCAACGCGTGGCCTGGAGTCTTCTCCACGTGGTCTCCAGGTGCTCACAGGCACATTTCTCGTGGTGTTGATGGTGTTGGTGTTGTTGCAAATTCTCAGAAGTGTTATGTTTTTGCTGCCCGACCTGCAAGACGGCGGCGGAGGGCGGTGGCAGGGGACGCGTGGATGTCTCGTGTTGCTGGTTCAGCGGTAATGTTACGCGTGCAACGCATTTACTAATGCAGATGCGTGCTTATTGCGTGCCATGACGGGACGCGTTGTACATGATTGCACGTAAAGAATATTCAGAATGTTGGAAATAATGTCTTCTACTTATATAATAATTGTTTATGTATATAAAGTGCACTACTTCGCTGCATCGTGTCGCATATCCTGCATTGCACAGTTAATATTGGTAACTGCACACAAATGCACATTTTGCATTAACCATGCAAGGGGTGGTAACTTTTGCAAATAATGCATAATTATGTTAAAAAATGTTCACGTTTACAAATTATGCAATAAAGTACAAAATGACAGTTTGCTAATTTTTGATTGATATTGATTGACTTTCACATTCTTGCACAGACACTCATTGTATATGGTCTCATCAATATCAGAAATGAATTTACACCGCTTGCATTGTCCAATGCATTACACGCTCATCAGATGGTGCACAACTCCGCCTTACAATAAATCACGACTGAGGATCATTCCGTTTGCGACGCTTCGCTATGAACCTGGCGGCCCGAGTTCGAATCCAGGCCACAGCTAACATCATTGTGCTGACAGTATTCAACTCTGCAAAGCCAATTATCAGTACAAAACGGACTTTCATGACCACATGCATTATCAAGGTATCACAGGTCATTAAAATGCTCTATCAAAGCAAAAGTGTCCTGTGCAAAACTGAGGTCCATCGCAACATTGACCCGCTGATGTTCATGAACAGTGCAGCTACGTGAAGTAATTGTAATGCGAGCGTATGCTGGTTTCCCCGCCCCAGCCCCTAAGTCAACCAGGCGACACGACGAAATAAAGAGACGGAGACACAGTTTTGTTGACTGTTTTCTGGGGCAATGCCACCGATATATGTTCGCTAACGGAATAAACACAAAAGAAATGTCAATCCCCCTCGGCCTGGGGCTCCATGCAAGATCTCACCTCGTGGAGTTGCAATGATCATGAGAACGGTGTGGAATCAGCCCAGAACTACACGGGAGGATCTTGTCAATGATCTCAAGGCAGCTGGGACCATAGTCACCAAGAAAAAGTTGGTGACACACTACGCCGTGAAGGACTGAAATCCTGCAGCGCCCACAAGGTCCCCCTGCTCAAGAAAGCACATTTACATGCCCGTCTGAAGTTTGCCAATGAACATCCGAATGATTCAGAGGACAACTGGGTGAAAATGCTGTGGTCAGATGAGACCAAAATTGAGCTCTTTGGCATCAACTCAACTCGCCGTCTTTGGAGGAGGAAAAATGCTGCCTATGACCCCAAGAACACCATCCCCACCGTCAAACATGGAGGTGGAAACATGCTTAGGGGGTGTTTTTCTAATGGGACAGGACAACTTCACCGCATCAAAGGGACGATGGACACTGTGTGTACACACAGTGTGTGTACGCACTGTGTGTGTACACTGTGTGTGTACACTGTGTGTGTGCATTGTGTACGTACAGTGTGTGTTACATGTACGCACACAGACAAGTTTTCATTCTAAATTATTGACAGGCATATGCACAAAATTGAATTACTGCAGTGAAATATACTGCATCAGATAACATCTTATTCTTTGGTTCTTTCAGTAAAGTCACGTAGAACGAAATTTAATAGAAAACGACGTTTCGATTGGAACACAAGCAACCATCGTCAGGTACAAGTGAATGAAAACACAAACATAGTGAACTTATAAATATAATGCAACACAACACAGAGTCACCCAACACAACAGTCAACACCCTACCTGGTTGATTACCTTCTTCCAAAATTGAACAATTTAGTTTAGATAACATCTTATTAACAAGGAGCTATTTCAAGAATGCACCCTCTACTGAACAGTGGATGTGAAACACACAATTGTGCAATTCAAAACGAGTAGGCCTTTGCATGTTGGCGTCTGGGTCAAAAATTTAGCAAATTCTAAACATTACCTACAAACGACACAGCTGAGATGACAGATCAATCATCGCCCCCTACTGACAGGCTCTTGACAATATTCAGGCCGGTGCAGGGCCACCACCTTGTGCCACACAGGGGCAGCTGCTACTTGGGGTGCTCTTAGAATGTTTGAGACGAGGTACGATACAAAACTCCGAGTTGCTGAGCGGATTAAGTCAGCACCATGTAAAAGCAATTATAACATCGTGAATGCTTGGAAGCTTATTGGCTCTCAGAGATATACCCAACACACAGGTCCACAAAGACTGGCCACCCTTACCCTGCAGATTGAACCTAGGAACTGAGTGTTCAACTTCACGTTATTGTCATTAAAGGCCTGTGACAAAGGTGCATCTATTGGAGCGACATCGTCTCTGGCTTACACATTTACCGGGTCCCCATTTCACTTTGTATTGTCTCGGAGGAAGTCCACCGACACCTCCACTTCCACAAACTGCTGGGAGTTGCCTCGCTCTGCCTCAGTCAGAATTCTCCTCCTGCTTCACGTTGCCTCCATCCATGTGAAGGTCACATTCTGGACTTGAATCTTCATCTTCACACTTTACCTTCACTTCTTTACTCTTCACCATCACTTCTTCACATTCCACCTTCACCTCTTCATATTTCACCTTGGTACCTTTAAAAGTGTCCAAGCTGGGATTTTCTTCCGGTTCTTGTTTGATGAGGGATGGGCTCATTGCAGCACTTTGACTTTCACAAGCTGATTTCACACTCCAGTCCTTGTGGATCTTCTGATGCTTGTGTCTTCTCTGGTGTACTTGAAGATTGGAAGAATCTGAAAACGCCTTCCTGCACAGAATGCACTTGAAGGGTTTCTCTCCCGTGTGTGTTCTCTGGTGTCTTTTAAGATCTGATGACCGTGAAAGTGCCTTCCCACACACAGTGCACTTGAAGGGTTTCTCTCCCGTGTGTGTTCTCTGGTGTTTTATAAGAGAAGATGACTGTGAAAATGCCTTCCCACACACAGTGCACTTGAAGGGTTTCTCTCCCGTGTGTGTTCTTTGGTGTGTTACAAGAGTAGATGAATGTGCAAATGCCTTCCCACACACACTGCACTTGAAGGGTTTCTCTCCCGTGTGTGTTCTCTGGTGTCTTACGAGATGATGTAAAAAAGAAAACGCCTTCCCGCACAGAGTACACTTGAAAGGTTTCTCTCCTGTGTGTGTTCTCTGGTGTCTTTTAAGAACAGATGACCGTGAAAGTGCCTTCCCACACACAATGCACTTGAAGGGTTTCTCTCCCGTGTGTATTCTCTGGTGTTTTTTAAGAGAAGATGACTGTGCAAATGCCTTCCCGCACAGAGTACACTTGAAAGGTTTCTCTCCTATGTGTGTTCTCTGGTGTCTTTTAAGATTATTTGACTGTGAAAATGCCACCCCACACACACTACACTTGAAGGGTTTCTCTCCCGTGTGTGCTCTCTGGTGTCTTTTAAGATAATATGACCGTGAAAATGCCTTCCCACACACACTGCACTTGAAGGGTTTCTCTCCTGCGTGAGCTCTCTGGTGCTGTGTCAAATTTCCAGTCCGCTCCGTGCTGTATCCACGCCGGTCGCATTGTTGCCTTGCCGTACTGAGCTGTGCTGAGCGCCTTTGCTCCATCAGACCAAGCGACAGCTGCAGACAGAAAAAAATTATATCCACACCACCTACACGTCAGACACAGAGTAATGCATATACACAGTCACACGTGACTTACACGTCTATACTTATTCATATATTCATGATGTAGTGAAAAAGTTTTCCAAATTCATCACACAGGCTGTTATTGCACACAATGAGAGTGCAAATGGTCATAAAAATGCCTGGAAGCCCTCGTATCTCTGTGGTGAGATGTTAACTACCTCACCTGGTATACAGAAAGTCGTGGGTTCGATCCCGACCCTGACGCCTGCTGCTGCTGTATATTTGGAGTTTGCGTGTCTCTCTCTCTCCGTGGTGAGATGTTGACTACCTCGCCTGGTATACAGGAAGTCGTGGGTTCGATCCCGACCCTGACGCCTGCTGCTGCTGCTGTATATTTGGAGTTTGCGTGTCTCTCTCTCTCCGTGGTCGCGTGGATTTTCCTCCGAATCTCCCGGGTTTCCCCTCCACATTTAGAGTCAACATCAGCACGCGTGCAGCGTCTTTGACCGATACACATTTCCACACGTATTCTTGGTTATTTCGGTAAAGTTACGTAGATAGACAATAACAACAGATAATAACATCAAATAAAGGCCATTTGTGTTGTCGAAACGTCGTGGGTTTTTTTTATTTATTTACAATTTTGTTTACTTTTATTCATTTTATTATGTTATTTTACAAAATTTTCTATCTCCGTGACTTCACCGAAAGAACCAAGAATATGAATTGCTGCAATTACTAAAGTTTTAAGTCAAAACACCGAGACAAGCGTTGACAAAACCCACCTTTGTGTTGTGGGCAGGTAGCTTCTGTAAACAAGAGCGGTATAGCAGCTCAGGCGGGCTTGGGCTGGTAAAAAAACGAAAAAAAAACTGCGTCAATATCTACAATAAACCAAAGTGACAAAGTAGCGAGCCGCGTGAAGACAAATTAAACTTAAGGGAGGGAATTAAAGCAAACGCGACCAGGCGAGGGCAGGAGGCAAGGCCCCGCGTGTCTAGGCCCCGCGTGTCTAGGCCCCGCGTTGTAAAGTTCCAACTTGGACATCGATTCACAAGCTCGCTGCTGCTCTATTGACATCCCTACGAGAGAGAGAGCGAGGCTCTAGCTTGGTAAACAACAACAACCACCACAACAACAACAACCACAACAACAACCACAACAACCGCGATGAGAATTTCTCACCTCGGATTTCACTGCACGCGCGAAGCTGCAGCCTGTGACGTCACGCGGCAGCAGGTGACATGACGTCACTCCCGGGGTACCAGCAACAGCCCCTCCCACAACGAGTGGCTACTCTAACGGACGTCATTAATAAATTATGTTAATGTTTTGCGATCTAAACGTCGTGGGTTTTTTGCTTTAATAAATGACTTTACCGAAAAAAGCCTAAGAGTATGAATCATTGCAGTCACGAAAGCTTCAAATCTAGAATTTAATAAGTGACTTTTTCCGAGAAAAGCCTAACAGTATGAATCATTGCAGTCACGAAAGCTTCAAATCTACAATTTAATAAGCGACTTGACCGAAAAAAGCCTAAGAGTATGAATCATTGCAGTCACGAAAGCTTCAAATCTACAATTTAATAAGCGACTTGACCGAAAAAAGCCTAAGAGTATGAATCATTGCAGTCACGAAAGCTTCAAATCTACAATTTAATAAGCGACTTGACCGAAAAAAGCCTAAGAGTATGAATCATTGCAGTCACGAAAGCTTCACATCTGGAACTCATCATGGATGTGGCTGAACGTCACCGTGTAGGAGCCCAGCGCGTGACACCTTCACGCGCTGGGCGAGTGGCGCAGTCTCGCTTCCCATGCGAGAGGTCGCGGGTTCGATCCCCGCGTCCTCCACAGGCGAATACATTTTGTTAAATCCTTTATATTCAGTTCACTTGCTTGCTTGCTTAGGACCGTGCAAATCTTTCGCTCGTTTTTTAACCCACTTCCCGTGATCCAATCGAGCTGACATTTTGCACACAGACTCGTTGTGCGAGACAATTAATGTTCGTGAAAAAAAAATGTCAAAAATTTTACACTGTTTAGGGAAAACAAATAAAATATTTTATTACCAATTGCTTAATGGTGCAATGCAATCATCTGACCCATAGGTGGCAGCCATCTCAAGCCAGAGGACGAGAGGACTCTAGCCGCCACGCATATAAAGGATTTAGAGTGAAAAACTTTGTTTTTACGGGTTGTTCTTATTTTACATTTATTCAAATAGAAAACGTTACACATTAATGAGTCCATTGGGCAAGGCACTGACCGCTTGATTGGGATTTGCTGTTTATTAAAAGAAACATTGTTGATCGACATTTTTGCTTTCATGGCTTTATTTTGGTGATTTCGAAAAGTGTATTGGTTTAGCCATGTTTGTTGTAGTACAGAGTTAGACTGATGGCCTTAATCTAAGTTGTCTTGTGGTTGTTGTTGTTGTTGTCACATCTCTAACGTCTTAACAGGGGCTTCAAAACAGCAACATCGAGGACGACAAGAGGTCAAGCTGGTTCACCAATGTGAACGATGGACGTTACATTAAACAATTGATTTAAAAAAATATTCCTCGTGGAGGATGCAGGAATCGATCCGGCGATCTAAACATCGAAGAGTTTAGTGTTTTAGTGGCGTGCTCACGCTACCAACTACACTCAACTCTTCGTAGCATCGCGAGGGTCCTAGTGTAGTGACTAGCGTGTCAGTTGTGTGTGTTAGCGAGCTCTGTGTTGTTAGTAAGACATTTCACACCGTCTATCCTTGTACTGGACGTGCATTTGAGATGTGTTCACTTCTCTTTTCTCGAGCGCGCTACCATCTGAGCCAATAATAAAAAATAAAACATAATAAAATAATTATTATATTATGCATAATAAAATAATTATTATACATAATAAAATAATCATTATACATAATAAAATAATTATTTTATTATTTTATTATGTATTATGTATAATTATTTATTATGTATAATAAAATAATTATTTTATTATGTTTTATTTTTATTTTTATTATTTCCATTCTACGTGACTTTACCGAAAGAACCAAGAAGATGACACACACAGCTTGCACGCTACCAACGAGACTAGGACCCTCTCGATGCTACGGAGACATCAGCGTACCTGGTAGTGTGAGCACGCCACTAAGTACGTTGAGTTCTCCGATCTTTAGGTCGCCGGATCGATGCCAGCCTCCTCCACGAGGATTTTTTTAAAATCAAATTATAAATGTAACATCCATCGTTATTGTTGGTGACATGTTCACATTGGTGAACCAGCTTGACGTCTCGTCGCCCTCAATTTTGCTGTTTTAAAGCCCCTTTAAGACGTTAGAGATGTGACGAGAAATAAAAAATACCTATAAACAATATACATATCGAGCCTGGCAGGAATCGAACCTACAACCGTCTTATCCGCAGGCAGCCGCGCTATCCATTGCACCACAGACCCCACGTGACTCTCACATCCTTCGAGGGGACCTTGAGAGAGGTGGCGAGTTCGATGCCCGCATCCTCCACAGGCGAATATTATTTTTGACATTTATTCAACACAGAGCTCGCTAACACACACAACTTGCACGCTACCAACTTCACTAGGACCCTCGCGATGCTACGGAGTGATCAGCGTAGTTGGTAGCGTGAGCATGCTACTAATTATACTGAGCACTCCGTTGTTAAGGTAGCCGGATCGATGCCCGACTCCTCCATGGAGAATATATTTTTTTATATAAATGTAACGCCCCAGCGTTATTGTTGGTGACATGTTCACATTGGTGAACCAGCTTGACCTCTCGTCGCCCTCGAATTTGGTGTTTTGAAGCCCCAGTTAAGGCGAATGAGATGTGACGAGAAATAAAAAATATTCTAAAAATATACATACTAAAATAATTATTTTATTACGTTTTATTTTTATTACGTAGAATGGAAATAATAAAATAATCAAAATTAAATATAATAAAATAAATCTTTTATTATGCATACTAAAATAATTATTGTATTATGTTTTATTACGTAGATTGGAAATAATAAAAAAATCAAAATAAAACAATAAAATAATTATTTTATTATACATACTAAAATAATTATTTTATTGCTTTATTTTTATTACGTAGAATGGAAATAATACAAAAATCTAATATTATACATACTAACATAATTATTTTATTACGTTTCATTTTTATTACGTAGAATGGAAATAATAAAAAAATCAAAATAAAGCATAATAAAGTATTTTTTTTATTATACGTACTAAAAGAATTATTTTATTATGTTTTATTTTTATTACGTAGAATGGAAATAAAAAAATAATCAAAAGAAAACATAACAAAATTATTAATTTACTATTTTTATTATAATAAAAATAAAATATAATAAAAAAAAATTCTTATAATAATTATTTTATTATACGTAATAAATTAATTCTTTTATTATGTTTTATAATAAAATTATAACATAATAAAATAATTATTTTATTATGTTTTATTTTTATTACGTAGAATGGAAATAATACAAAAATCAAAATAAAACTAAATAAATCAAAATAAAACATAGTAAATAATTATTTTATTATACATAATAAAATAATTATTTTATTACGTTTTATAATAAAAATAAAACGTAATAAAATGAACACAGAGCTCGCTAACACACACAACTGGCACACTAGTAACTACACTAGGACCCTCGAGATGCTACCAAGAGTTTAGTGTCGTTGGTAGCGTGAGCACGCCACTAAACGCACTGAACTCTTCGATGTTAAGTTCGATTCCCGCATCCTCCACGAGGAATATTTTTCTTAAATAAAATTTTAAATGTAACGCGCCAGCGTTATTGTTGGTGACATGTTCACATTGGTGAACCAGCTTGACCTCTCGTCGCCCTCGATTTTGCTGTTTTGAAGCCCCAGTTAAGGCGAAAGAGATGTGACGAGAAATAAAACATATTTCAAAAATATACATACAAAAATAATTATTTTATTATGTTTTATTTTTATTACGTAGAATGGAAATAATAAAAAAATCATAATAAAACATAATAAAATAATTATTTAACATAATAAAATATTTATTTTATTATGTTTTATTACGTAGGTTGGAAATAATAAAAAAAAATCTAAATAAAACATAATAAAATAATTATTTTGTTATACATACTAACATAATTTTTTTATTGTTTTATTTTTATTACGTAGAATGGAAATAATACAAAAATCAAAATAAAACATTATAAAATAATAATTTTATTATACATACTAGCAAAATGATTTTATTATATTTCATTTTTATTACGTAGAATGGAAATAAAAAAAATCAAAATAAAGCATAATAAAGTATTTTTTTTATTATACGTACTAAAATAATTATTTTATTATGTTTTATTTTTATTACGTAGAATGGAAATAATAAAATAATCAAAAGAAAACATAACAAAATAATTAATTTACTATTTTTATTATAATAAAAATAAAATATAATAAAAACATTATTTTATTATAATAATTATTGTATTATACGTAATCAATTAATTATTTTATTATGTTTTATAATAACATTAAAACATAATAAAATAATTATTTTATTATGTTTTATTTTTATTACGTAGAATGGAAATAATACAAAAATAAAACAAAATAAATCAAAATAAAACATAATAAAATTATTATTTTAAAAAATAAGTAATTATTTTATAATTAATTAATTTTTTATACATTTTTATTATTTTATTACGTTTAATAATAAAAATAAAACGTAATACAATGAACACAGAGCTCGCTAACACACACAACTGGCACACTAGTAACTACACTAGGACCCTCGAGATGCTACCAAGAGTTTAGTGTCGTTGGTAGCGTGAGCACGCCACTAGACGCACTGAACTCTTCGATGTTAAGTTCGATTCCCGCATCCTCCACGAGGAATCTTTTTTTTAAATCAAATTTTAAATGTAACGCGCCAGCGTTATTGTTGGTGACATGTTCACATTGGTGAACCAGCTTGACGTCTCGTCGCCCTCGATTTTTGATGCGGATTTGCAGTTTAATAAACCCGCATCTTAGTTGATGTAAAAGTGCGGCGCGAGTTGCTCGCTGCGCTGAAGACTCCCGCCTCTGGGCGGCAGGCGGCGCTCGTGAGAACGCGAGAGGCGCCAGCTGAGAGCTGCACCCCGAGGAAGCGTCTTGGCGGCTTGTTGTTGTTGTCGCAGTGAAACACGTTCATCACCTTCAGCGCAACGGGGTCTCTGCTCGTGAGTGTAAAAACGGAGTTTCCTTTTTGAAAACTATTGTTTGCGTGGAGGATGCGGGGATAGAACCCGCGACCTAAAAAAATAATAATTTTATTATGTTTTATTTTTATACATAATAAAATATTTTATTATTTCCATTCTACGTAATAAAAACAAAACATAATAAAATAATTATTTGATTACGTATATATAAAAATAATTATTTTATTATGCTGTATTTTTATTAGTTTATTATTTCCCTCCTATGCGACTTTGTTTAATTTTTATTATTTTATTATTTCCCTTCTACGTGCCTTTATGGTGAATTATTATTTTATTATTTCCCTTTTATGGGACTTTGTTCTATTTGTATCATTTTATTTCTCTTTTACGCGACTTTATGTTTTATTATATTATTATTTCCCTTCCATGCGACTTTATGTTTAATTGTTACTATTTTATCATTTCCCTTGTACGCGACTTTATGTTGTATTTTTATTATTTTATTATTTCTCTTTTGCGAGACACACAGAGAGAGACACACACAGAGAGAGACACACAGAGTGAGAGAGACTCGGCACTGTACGTAATCCAAGCGTTTGGTGGGGGGAGCTGGACGACTGAGTGGCTGAGTAAGACGGTTGCTGATTGGCTGAAGCGTGGGTGTGTGAGGCGTTGCTGATTGGCTGAGGCGTGGGTGTGTGAGTAAGACGATTGCTGATTGGCTGAGTGGCTGAGTGAGCCGATTGCTGATTGGCCGAGGTGTGGGTGTGTGAGGCGTTGCTGATTGGCTGAGTGGCTGAGTAAGACGGTTGCTGATTGGCTGAGGCGTGGGTGTGTGTGAGGCGTTGCTGATTGGCTGAGTGGCTGAGTAAGACGGTTGCTGATTGGCTGAGGCGTGGGTGTATGAGAGGGAGGCTGCTGATTGGCTGAGTGGCTGAATAAGACGGTTGCTGATTGGCTGAGGCATGGGTGTGTGAGAGGGGGGCTGCTGATTGGCTGAGTAGGTGGGCGGGGCTCCATCTTTGTGTGAAGCCAGGTGACGCGTTCCGCCATTTTCTCAACATTTCGATTCAAGGTGACGCATCTTATTGTAGCTCCCAGCGAATTCTAGCGACTTCTAGTGACTTCCAGCGAATTCTAGTGACTTCTAGTGACTTCTAGAGACTTCTAGTGACTTTTAGTGACTTCTAGAGACTTCCAGCGAATTCTAGTGACTTCTAGAGACTTCCAGAAGCTCCCATCAGCTGACAGAAGCGTCCATCATCACACGGAGAGACACGCAGAAAAGGCGGGTTTTTCAACTAGGTATGTATAAATGTTGTGTGTATACATGTTGTGTGTATAAATGTTGTGTGTATAAATGTTGTGTGTATAAATGTTGTGTGTATAAATGTTGTGTGTGTAAATGTTGTGTGTATAAATGTTGTGTGTATAAATGTTGTGTGTATAAATGTTGTGTGTATAAATGTTGTATGTATAAATGGTGTATGTATAAATGGTGTATGTATAAATGTTGTATGTATAAATGTTGTATGTATAAATGGTGTATGTATAAATGGTGTATGTATAAATGTTGTATGTATAAATGTTGTATGTATAAATGTTGTATGTATAAATGTGGTATGTATAAATGTTGTGTGTATAAATGTTGTGTGTATAAATGTTGTATGTATAAATGGTGTATGTATAAATGTTGTATGTATAAATGTTGTATGTATAAATGTTGTATGTATAAATGTTGTATGTATAAATGTGGTATGTATAAATGTTGTGTGTATAAATGTTGTACGTATAAATGTTGTATGTATAAATGTTGTGTGTGTGTACTCTTTAAGTTTTTTTTCACGTAGGGTAAAAAATAAAATTAAAACTTAATAAAAGTTTTAGTAGAAATACAGCGAATGTAGCTGTGACGGGCCCAGCTGATGACGACACGTCGTGATTTATTATTTTATTTCTATTATTACTTTAATAATGTTATTCTTTTAACCTTCGTGACTTTCCCGCATCGATTAGCAAATTAGATTTCGTTCGCTTGCAAAAATTAATCGTTAAAGAGTTAATAATTCTTTAACGATTCATTTTGGGAGCTTGGTGAGGGGGTTGTTTAGGCCTCAGCCTGGGCGCTCGCCTGGATCTCAGGCCGGGCTCGTTGGGCCGGAGTCGCTAGGCGAGGCCGTGGTCCCCCGACGTGAGGCGAGGCCTGGTGACTACCCATCATGTCTCGCCCTCTCACGTTCACATTGGTGCACTTGCAACGATTTGTTTATGTTACTCGTGGGCTATAAGCTTTCATTGTGACGTTGCCGTGCTTTAAACATTGTTATTTATCCTCTTGGTTCTTTAGGTAAAGTCACGTAGAATGGAAAAAATAAAAATAAAACATAGTAAAATACTTTATGTTTAATAAATTGTTGGTTCTTTCGGTAAAGTCACGTAGAATGGAAATAATAAAATAATAATAAAACGTTAAAAAATACTTTATTATGTTAAATAATTTATTGTTTTTTTCGGTAAAGTCACGTAGAATTGAAATAATAAAATAATAAAATGTAAACTTCATAAAATAAATTATAAACCAATTAAATATTGTATTGCTTTATTTTTATACTTTATAAAATATAATATTTTATTATGTGTTATTTTTATTATTTTATTATTTCCATTCTACGTGACTTTACTGAAAGAACCAAGAAGATGAATCCCTGCAGTCACCAAAGCTTTAAATCGAAATTATTATTTACGTTTTAATAGCGGTTAGCAGACGCGAATCGTTGTAGCGTACACAGACAAAGCCGCTCCTCGCACAGACTGTAGGGGCAAGTGCTGTTAGCGAGCAGCAGCAGCAGCTATGAAGGCAAAGACAAAGACGCCCCGTGTAGCCTGTAGTAGCAGGCTGTAGGGGCAAGTGCTGCTAGCAGGAGGGGTGGGTGGCCAGCACCACGCCCGGCCGCCTTTGTCTCTCCTCAAGTGGAAATGTTCATTCAGTCTGCTGCATGTCTCTGTCTATCTACACCATCCGCCTATATCGGTGTCTCACGGCCATTGTATGTACTGTCTGTGTAGAGAACACCAAGATGAGCTCGCAGGAGACCACAGAAGACATCATGGCAGACGTGCCCGGCCAGGTGGATGCCGATCAGGTGAGCATCACGTCTCTACCCCCTCTCCTCCTCCCCCCGTGTGTCTCACAAGCCAAGCAGGCCCCAGCCTGGTAGTGCTGATTGTGGGGACTAGTGAACCACTGCCTGGCTGTGTGGTGGTGAGCGACACGTCTTTACCCCCCTCCCCTCCTCCCGTGTGTCTCGTGTAGAGTGAGGAGAGAGACGCATCTCTCCCCGTGCTTGCGTGGATTTTTCTCCGGGTCCTTGAGGTTTCCCCTAATAACATATTTGGGAACAAAGCGTTTAGTGCAGTGGTTCTTAACCTGGGGCTGTGCAAGATGCCCCTCTTCTGAGGTTAAGAGCCACTGGTATAGAGTAGGACTGAACGATTAATCAATTTGAAATCGCAATTTGAAGCAATGCGATTAGGAAATCGATTTTTTTTGCGATTTGTAAAATGCCGATTACTTATTGGAATTGTTTTCTTACTTATTATTATAACTTTATTGATTTCACTTCACAATTGTTCTATGTTTGATTGTTCTATTAAATTTTTTTTTTATAAATACATGTTGGAAGCAATTCATATATTTTTAAGTTCTCATCCTTCCATTAGAATATATGTATCAGTTCATATGTTGACGGTATCATGTGGCAATGCCACATCACACGTTGTAAATCTATTACACAGTGAATATTGAACTGAAGCTTGACTTGAACAAATTGTTTTATATCAAATCAAATCGCAATATCTGTCAGAAAAATCTCAATTAGGTATTTCCCCCAAATCGCCCAGCGCTAGTTTAGAGAGTGACAGCCTCTTGTTGTTGTTGTTGTGCCCCCCCCTCCCCTCGGCTTCGCCGTCAGCCCACGGACACGAGCGACGGCGCCCGCCGCTACCCGGGGCCCCACCTCCAGGGCCACCACCTCGGCCTCCCCACGCCGCGGCAACTGCGGCGCCGCTGCCTGGTGGTGCCGCGCTGCGTCGTCTTGCCGCAACCGCGGCGCCAGCAGCCGCAGGAGGAGCCCCGGCGCGACCCGGAGGAGCCGCGCCGGGTGGCGCCGGCGGCGGCCACGGCAGCCAACCCGGACGGCGTCGCCGCTCAGGTGAGAGAGACGCACCGCGGGGGGGGGGGGGGGGGGGGATCTCGTCCCGAAGGTTTCGTGGACGCGGCAAGAATTGACGTTCTCGGGTCTTTGGGTGAAGAAGTCGCGTCGGCGGCGGCGGGTTCGGAGAGAATCACAGAAGCGCGACGCTTCGACCGCGACGCGAGCGGCGGCCCTGGTGGGCGCCCGCGACACGGCGCCCCGTTCTAACCCTCCCGCCCCCCCCCCCCCCCTCCCTCAGCGCCGTCGTCATCACCGGCGCCGGTGCCTCACCTTGACCAGGCCGGAGATGCTGGCGGTGGTGGAGCAGTTACGGCAGCAGCAGCAGCAACAGCAGCAGCAACAGCAACAGCAGCAGCAGCGCGCCACGGAACCCGCCGACAACGCCGACCGGCTCCGGGCGCCGCCCTTAGACGGCGCCATCGCGGCCGTGGGTCCCGCCCGACAGCCGGCGGTGGTGGCGCCCGGCGGCGAGCGGGAGGGGGAGGAGACGGAGCTGCGTCGGCGAGTTCGGCAAGCCGAGCAGTTTGCCATGCTGCGCGAGGCGGAGCGTCAGGAAACGGAGAGGTGAGACTCACCACACAGAGACCCACAGACTCACCACACAGAGACCCACAGACTCACCACACAGACTCACCACACAGACTCACCACACAGAGACCCACAGACTCACCACACAGAGACCCACAGACTCACCACACAGAGACCCACGGACTCACCACACAGAGACCCATAGACTCACCACACAGACTCACCACACAGACTCACCACACAGAGACCCACAGACTCACCACACAGAGACCCACAGACTCACCACACAGAGACCCACAGACTCAACACACAGACTCACCACACAGACTCACCACACAGAGACCCCAGACTCACCACACAGAGACCCACAGACTCACCACACAGAGACCCACAGACTCACCACACAGAGACCCACGGACTCACCACACAGAGACCCACAGACTCACCACACAGAGACCCACCCCCTCGCGTGTCGTTCGCTAACAGCACTCGCCCCAACAGTCTGTTAAGGCTACACGGGGGATCTTTGTGGGTGTGTGTGTGTGCGGGTGTGTGTTTGTGTGCGCTTGTGTTTGCGTGTGTTTGTGTGTGTGTGCGGGTGTGCGCTTGTGTTTGCATGTGAGTCGGTGCGTGTGTCAGTGCCGTGCGTGTATGTGTGTTTGCGTGTGTGTGTGTGTTTACGTGTGTGTGTGTTTGCATGTGTGTGTTTGCGTGTGTGCGTGTGTGTTTGCGTGTGTGTGTGTTTGCGTGTGTGTGTGTGTGCGTTTGCGTGTGTGTTTGCGTGTGTGTGTTTGTGTGTGTGTGTTTGTGTGTGTGTGTTTGCGTGTGTGTGTGTTTGTGTGTGTGCGCTTGTGTTTGTGTGCGAGTCGGTGTGTGTGTCAGTGCCGTGTGTGTTTGCGTGTGTGTGTTTGCGTGTGTGTGTTTGCGTGTGTGTGTTTGTGTGTGTGTGTTTGCGTGTGTGTGTGTTTGCGTGTGTGCGCTTGTGTTTGCGTGCGAGTCGGTGCGTGTGTCAGTGCCGTGTGTGTGTGCGTGTGTGCGCTAGTGTTTGTGCGAGTCGGTGCGCGTGTGCCAGTGCCGTGCGTGTGGAGCGCTCCGTGCGTGACGACGCTGACGTGACCGCCCCCCCCCCCCCCCTCTCTGGCAGGCTCCTGACGGCGCTGCTCCGACTGGCGCGTGAGCAACACACGGCGCTGGCGGCCGCCGGCCTGGCAAGCGCCGAGCAGACGGCCGTCCTGACGCGCACCGTGCGGCTGGTGCGGCGCCGGCGATGCATCGCCTGGGCCGGCGGCGGCGGCGCCAGCCGCTAGGACGGAGTCACTACACACTCTCGGTCTCTCGTCTTGTACTACTTTGTAATAAAAGACATTTGTGCAAACTTTAAGCTGCGTTATTGACGTCTTTATGAGAAGCGCACTTCACTCTGCGATCTGTCCGCGATGAATCATTGACATCATCGTCGGTGGTGGTGCTGACAATCTGCTCTGCACGTCGCGCTCTGTCGAGGGTTCAGTCGCTTTGCCGGAATGCCTCGATGCGCACGGCAGCTGCACCGTAGTGGCTCGGCGATGTGTGCACTCGCAACCGGCGTTCAGTTACCTCGCTGGAGGGTCAGGCTCTGAATGCAATCGCTTCAAGCCAGGCGTGTCCGCAGACACTTGTCCCAGACAGAGCCCTGCACCGCACACTTCGACATGACCGAGATGACTGGCTGATGCACCACCTGTGCCCCCTACTGTGCCAACTTGCTGTGCTTTAGCCACCCGGCGCTCCGCTCGTTGTACGCACACACACACAACCGCCATTCGCCACTAAGTGGCGGTGACGTCACCACGACGCTTGTGCCAGGCCACGTGCACCTTGAGGCCACCACGTAGCGTGTCGAACGCCCGCTGGCAGGAGGAGGTCACGGGGCAGACCCAGCAGGTGCCACGGGTCGACTGACCGAGATGGAGTGACACACACACACAAGTACACACACACAGACATCGACTTACACACACAAGTACACACACACAGACATCGACTTACACACACACACAAGTACACAGACATCGACTTACACACACGCACAAGTAAACACACAGACATCGACTTACACACACACAAGTACACACACACAGACATCGACTTACACACACACACAAGTACACACACACACAGACATCGACTTACACACACACAAGTACACACACACAGACATCGACTTACACACACACACAAGTACACACACACAGACATCGACTTATACACACACAAGTACACACACACAGACATCGACTTACACACACACACACAAGTACACACACACAGACATCGACTTACACACACAGACATCGACTTACACACACACACACAAGTACACACACACACAAGTACACACACACAGACATCGACTTACACACACAGACATCGACTTACACACACACACAAGTACACACACACACAAGTACACACACACAGACATCGACTTACACACACACACAAGTACACACACACAGACATCGACTTACACACACACACAAGTACACACACACACATGGAGTGACACACACACATGGACACACACACGCGATAGTCTATTTCCATGTGATCCCAACGGAAATCGATTCCATTAGCTTAATAAACTATAAATCGATTCCCATGTTATCCCAATAGAAATCGACTCTATACATCCACTACGCTACAGGAATCGATTCCTAATGTTATCCCATTAAGAATCGACGCAAGTAAAGTTAATCGAACCGGGAATCGAATTTCTCTGCACCACGTGACTTGAGAAACTGAAACACGTGGGTCCCAGGTGGGTGTCATGGCGGTGCAAGAACTCTTCTCGAGACTTGGCCTACTCTTCCTCTCCGTCCTCGTCACGTGTACACACGGTGAGCCCAGCCAGAGGTGGTTGATACATCGGGTACCAGGTTGTGGTGGACGTGGGGAGCGGTGGTGAAGTGGTTAGCGCACTGTGTGTGTGTGGGGAGCGGTGGTGCAGTGGTTAGCACACTGTGTGTGGGGGGGGGAGCGGTGGTGCAGTGGTTAGCGCACTGTGTGTGTGTGGGGAGCGGTGGTGCAGTGGTTAGCACACTGTGTGTGTGTGTGGGGAGTGGTGGTGCAGTAGTAAGCGCACTGTGTGTATGTGTGTGGGGAGCGGTGGTGCAATGGTTAGCGCACTGTGTGTGTGTGGGGAGTGGTGGTGCAGTGGTTAGCGCACTGTGGGGAGCGGTGGTGCAGTGGTAAGCGCACTGTGTGTATGTGTGTGGGGAGCGGTGGTGCAGTGGTTAGCGCACTGTGTGTGTGTGTGGGGAGTGGTGGTGCAGTGGTTAGCGCACACTGCCCATCTCCCCAGCTGCGACTCCCCCTCTGAATGTCCGCGTGGAGTCTCGCGACCTGCTGACGCAACTCCGCTGGGACCACGACGCTCAAGTGGACGTCGCCACCAGCAGCAGCTCAAAGCTCCTGGACGTTGCCTACAGGGTGGACAGCAAACTGTGAGATGCTCGCTCACTCGCTCACCCACCCACCCACTCACTCACCCACCCACCCACTCACTCACCCACCCACTCACTCGCTCACTCACCTACCAATCCACTCACTCAACCATCCACTCACTCATTCGCTCACCAACTCACTCACTCACCCACTCACTCACCCACTCACTCAACCATCCACTCACTCACTCACCCACTCACCCACTCACTCAACCATCCACTCACTCGCTCACCCACCCACTCACCCACCCACTCACTCGCTCACCCACCCACTCACTCAACCATACACTTGTAGGGGTGTTAAAGAGAGGGCCCGTTATGCATGGCAGCCTATGGAAAACAAACACAGTGGGCGGGGCTACGTAAGTGCACGAGGAGGTGCCCTCTACGACGTCCGAGCCAGACACCCTGGGGGGGGCTGGTTCGAACGTTATGATCCCCCGGGGCCCCACCCCTCAGGGAGGGGTTGGGTATAAAAGGGGATGTTTCAAAGGGCTCGAGAGTTATGTTTTAAGCTAAAGGAAGAAGACTGAAGACGTCTTAGATAGAGCCCTGGACTCCCCTAGTTCGATGTCCTTTTCAGGGCCGGACAGGACTGAGCCAGTGGCGTGGTCCCGAAAGCCAGAGCCGGTGCTCTTGTAAGAGCTGGTCTGGAACTCCGGGTACCGGGCCCCGACTTACCAGTGTCGGGCCAGATAGCCTCCCCTAGCCCATTAGTGGAGGACTCGGGGCTAGGACAGAGTTATCAAGGGGTGTATCCCGAGTTATACGGGTGAGGGGGCCGATACCCCCTCGAGTGTTATATGCCCACTGTCGTATTGTGAAATAAATATACGTGTGCCTCAACCTCGGTGTCAAGCGTCCTCACCGGTACTTCACACTCACTCGCTCACCCACCCACTCACTCACCCATCCACTCACTCACCCATCCACTCACTCGCTCACCCACCCACTCGCTCACCCACTCGCTCACACATCCACTCACTCAACCATCCACTCACTCGCTCACCCACTCACTCGCTCACCCACGCACTCACGCACCCATCCACTCACTCATCCATCCATCCACTCACCCACTCACCCACTCGCTCACCCACCCACTTACTCATCCATCCACTCACTCACCCACCCATCCACTCACCCACCCATCCACTCACCCACCCACTTACTCACCCACCCACTTTCTCACTCACCCACACCACTCATGCACCCACCCACTCACTCTCCCACTCACACACTCAACCACCCACTCACCCACCCACTCACTCACTGACTAATGCACTCACCCACCCACTCACTCACCCACTCACTCACTGACTAACTCACTCACCCACCCACTCACTCACTGACTCACCCACTCACTCACTGA